ATATTTGCCATTTTGATAACAGCCCAAACTTTTCCTAATTACATAAGTACCCTCAATCAAATCCCACTTAACCCGTTACTTTACCTTTTGAAATAAAATCAAATCCCTTCCTATTTTCCCGTTAAATCACTATCATCCCAACCCCACTATCGAGTAAACTGCAAAACCTCCCAGAACAACTTCCCGGTACGGCCGATTGAAAGGGGAAGACGTCTGCACTGCCGTGAAACGACGATTTTCGTGCACTCCGAGCAAGCTGTCGTAGGTACGTCGTCGCCACTCGCTGAATCGCTATCACCCATCGATTTGTTGATATGTTTTGGCTAAATCGACTATCACATTTGTGTAATTGCAGATCTGTTATAATCGCATACCGCATTCGAGCACTAAATCAGTGATATTGCAACAATTGATGGGCAGGACATCCACCAGAAGTGATATCGTCGTTGGCCGCCGCCGTCGCCGTCGCCGTCACTGCTCCAATCTAGGGTTACTCAAATCTAGGATTACTCAAATCTAGGGTTTTGATAATTCTTCGGCCCATAGTTGATTAACAAGATGCATAGTCGAATTACATCTGTATTAATATACTATCCCATATCATTTAATAGACTATCCCACTAGTATAATTTTACTATGGATCTTGTTAATCGACTATGGGCCGAAGAATCATCAAAACCCTAGATTTGAGAAGTGACGGCGGCGGATTTGTGTTTCAAAATTAATAGACTATCTCATATTTTTTAATAGACTATCTCATGTATCTAATTCGACTATGAGTTTAGTTAATTGACTATTGGAAAAATAATAATATATATGGAAACTGAATAATATGTTTGTTTGAAATACTAATCAATTAGGATAATTTTCCTTATTATATGAAAACGATTAGGGTAAATAATAATATATATGAAAAAATAATAATATATATGGAAACTGAATAATATGTTTGTTTGAAATACTAATCAATTAGGGTAATGTTCCTTATATCATGTAATAAACTATCTTATTCATCTAATTCGACTATGGATCTCGTTAATCTACTATGGATCCCGTATTATTCAACCACATAGTATATTAATAATTTCAATATAGTACATTGATCTGCTATGAGAGTATATTACGGTTATAGTAGTGATATGAATTGTGTTACAAACAATATACCACTTAAATGACAAGAACATTGAGAACAACACCAACGTAAAGTATTCCAACATAACCAATAAAATAGTACATTAATAATCTCATAATTTCAATCTAGGGTTTTGATAAAATACATAAAACACATCATAACACAATCAAACCAATATGTCGAGTTAAAAAACTCTAGTACATTAATAATCTCATAATAGTATAATAAAATGATAATGGTAGTATCATACGGTATTCATAATAGTATACTACTGTATTACAACGGTTTAAAACTTAACCGAAGTTACCGAGCCATTACATCGTAAACACCTCTTTATAGCAACCAACCCACCAAACCTCAACAAAATCCTTACGAAATTCGCCATTGAAAAAACCTAAAATCATGAAACAAAATTAAAAATGCAGAATACTAAAAAATGATTAAATAGACTGCAAATACATTTGAATGACAATACATTAATATCATCAAAAATAAACTTAAAATGCAAAATCCATACGCTAATTTAAAAAAAACTACGAACTATATTTTAATGTACTACCCAGCACACTTAAATCGGCTGTTATAAACAAATAAACCAACTATCGATCGGGATAAAAAACATGAACTCGACCACAGCGGACAATTATTCCGATTATTGCATAAACCAACTACGAAGCTCATATAAAATAACTCTGGTCCGATCTGCGTGAATCATCCTCTTCTAACTCTGTCAATCCTCTTCCAAACAAACATCATCCGCCAAAAATAACGATGTATATATGACGATGTAATTTTGTTAAAAAACGTTCTACTTCATAGAGTCAAGTATCAACACAACTCTTAAAATTTCTAACCACCGTAATCGACAATCCTAGACATTGAGCGAAAAATAAAAACGAATAACGCATTCATACCCGGTTAACAACGTCCAACAACGAACGCTCAAATTCGATCCTGTTTCAACGACGGTGCAGAAATCTTCAAAGACGATAAAGAACCGTTGGAACGCTGAAGAGAACCTTCGAAAAATATTGTACACGATTTGATATAACGGCCAATGATCTCACGCAATTTTATTCCGTGATTTTAGGCAACGTATCAGCAAATCTCAAATCACGTAGTAAAGGAAATAAATGCCGTTTAAAAATAAAACAGGGGTATTAAAGGAAAATTATATAATATATTTTGCCAAGTTGGCAAAATTGGGTCTATCTCAAAAAGAGGAAAAAAAATTGGATCTACCTCATTAAAAAATATGAATAAGGGGGTTATCACTAATAAACCCTTAAAAAAATATACTAATTGTTTGAAATAATATAGTTGTATTTCATTATACCCATGTAATAGAGTAAATTAAAAATACTTGAATATAATAAAACAATAAACCATAGATGATATTCTCGAACGATCTAATTGGAATATATATATTAAATTCTGAATTATGAGTTAATTTAAGTTTAAAAAACCAATTATAAAATTAGCTTATAATCAATATTATTATATAATTCTATGGCAAAGGTGCATAAAAAATGTCCGCTTTTTGTCTATACCGATCCAAAAAATTACGATTATCAAACAAGTTTTTTTTTTAGTTCAAATTCTAGAATTTCAATTTTCAAATTTTTTGATTTATTTTTTCGAATGTAATTAGAATTGTGTTTATTGTTTCTCTCATAAAGTACTGATTTCGATTCGATTTGTAAGAATTTTCATCATACTTTGCATGATTCAGTATGGCCTTTGGAAGAGAATGTTGGGCACTTCAATGGCATTGTGTTTCTATTGTCCAAGATCTTCTCTTTGAATGATCAATCTTTAGAATCATGAGCTCTTTCAATATCTCTTCTCTAAGGAAATAGCTACTGAGATCCTCAAGATATATGTCTTCCCAGTTGCTAAGTAAATCAATTTTTTTTCGGAAGTCTTCCAACTCAGGAGTATTCTCTACTAAAAGTGATTTCCCTACCTCTCAATCTCAAGAAGCTTGAATTCGTCATGCGTCCTCTCCTCCAACTTCAATTGGAACATTACATGGAGTGCAAACATTAGCAACATGCATAAACTCCCATTTTGTAGAATTCTCAACAATCTTTGTCCCATTATTTCTATATTGAGCATGTTTTTCCTTAATGAAGCCTCACACTGCCCTTTGTGTGATAATGAGGATGATGGCTTTGAACATCTCTTCATGGATCCCTTTGTAAAAAAGATCTGGTTCCAGTCTAAATGGAGCTTTGATTAGATGTTTTTCACAATTCAGCCTCTCTTTGAGTGGATTTCCTCCTTGTTTCATGATAATTGTTTTTTTATTTTTTCTCGTGTCTCTCACATAGAGAATTCATTATTTTCACACGTGCTCTCTGTAACCTCATATTGATGACTCGAATAAAGTTTGTCATCACATTTGCCGGTGGCCTCTCATTGAAAAAAGTCAACAACAAGCATCCACTTAGCTAGGAAAAGAACAATGCCAATTGCGAAAGAAGCCCACAAGCACTGGTTCAAGTCCATCACAGACTCCACCTTAAAAAATGGTGCATTTACTACAATCATCTTTTGTAATTGTAATGGCTCCATCATCCTCACTAACTCAAATAGCCCATTTACGTAGACTCGCATGTAGCTGAAGCAATTGCTACTAAAGAAGCATGCCAATTCCTCCATCACCTCGAAATTAAAGATGCCATCATTGAATTAGATTGTCTCAATGCCATTTTCTTCATCACATCCCACTAGACACGGCCATGAGCCGATTTTCAGACCGAACCGGCCCGTTGACGAGCTGGACCGGGCCGTTGACCGGTGAACCAGTACTGGAACCGTGAACCGGCCCGTGTCCCTCGGGACTGACCCGGTTCTGGAATTATGTGAACCGTGAGCCGTCGGGCCGGCCCGACGGTTCACTCGGATTAAAAAAAAAATTAAAAAAAAAACTGAAAAAGCTGAACCGACCGTTATTTGCTCTTTTTTGAATTCCCGTATTTTCCTATAAATACCTCACACCTATTTTTTTCCTATAAAATTAAGTTCAAGTCCTTTCATTTATTTTCTTTTGTTTTTTCCCATTTAAAAATAATTCTTTTAATTTATTTATCCAACAAATATTTAAAAAAAAAATATATACATATATAAATATAAATTTCCGGGCCGGCCCGGAACCGGAGTGAACAGGCGAGCCGGCCCGGGGAACCGTATGTTGTACCGGCCAGTTCCGGTTTCTGAAAAAGTGCATCGTGAACCGGATTAAACCGGTCCAAATCGGCCCATGGCCATGTCTAATCCCACAGTTGCACATCTAATTGGAAGGTTAAAGTGATAATCGACGACATAAAAAAAAAACTGGGCACTTTGGCCGAAATGAAGATTCAAATACATTTCTCGAAATACAAACTTCGCTACACAACCTAGCTTCGTGGGCTCTTGATTTCAATTGGTCTATTTTTTAATTTCACTTTGTAATATTCCTTTAGGGTCCATTTGGATAGAGGAATTTTGATGAAGGATTTCAAATTCATAATAACAAATCCATTGAATTTGTTTAGATTGAAAGATTTGGGGATGAATTTCAAATCTACACCCCTCCTTTGTTGATTTTAGAGCAATTGGTGTGGATTTCAAATGACTCCAAATTTGGAGTCATTTCAAATCGCTTCCCCAAATCCAATCCTCCTTCAAATCCCTTTATCTGGAGTCACTCTTAATTTGTTTTTGTGACAGTGGTTATCCGCTAGTCGACTCTTGTTTTCTCCCGTTCATTTAACCAATGCATGTATTCTATTAAAAAAAAAAAGAAAAAACAAAAAGAAAAGAAACTGGGCTTGGGCTTATTTTCTAACCGGATCCGAATTCCACACTACCGCTTAGCGGGTGGGTCGTATTTGGGCTTACGGGCCTTGTTGTTGGTTGGTTGGTAATAAAGCTACCGTTGAGCGTTGTCCTCTGTTCACACGTACGAAAACAAAAATCAACTTACACCAAAAGTGCTTTTTTTTTTTTTCTTCCTTCTAAAAAAACAGCACACAGTAAGTACTCTGGGATTTGGATTTTCCATGATTCCTCGATAGATGCATTTCTCTTTTCTCTAGTGGAATTATTAACAAAAATTATTTTACAAAGTAGAAAAAAAGAAAAAGTTGAAAAAAATAAGCAGCCTGAAAAAAAAAAAAAGCTTATAATCGATTAATGTTCTTAATAAACTCCATGATTGATTTTATGCTTCAATTGCTCTTCAGCCCTTCCTTTTTCTGATCTGCACCAAAAAACCCCTTTTTCAGCTTTTCTTAAAAAAAAAAAAACTTTAGGAGAGAGAAAGCGATGAGGAACGCCATCTTCTTCTTCTTCTTTGTAGTCCCCTTCGTCGCCTCTCTGTTTAAATTCCAAGCTCAAGCTGCACCTGCTGGTAAATAGCTGCAACTCGTGATTTTTTAGATGGGTTTTCTTTTTTTTTTTTTTTTTTTTTGTTGTGTAGAAATTTATTTATCTACCTGAATTATTTTTTGATTTAAGTAATTTTTGTTTTTTTGTTTTGGAAAATACAATTCAGGGCCGTTGATTAAGCACTTGTCATCGCTTGTGAAATGGAGTAGGTCATCTTCTAAAACACCCCACCAATCAGGTACATCTTTACGTATTAATTAATTTAATTTAATTTATTATTTTTTAATTAACAAAATCTTCCTGTATATGTTAATAATTAATTTGGTATTTTTTGTGCAGATGGGAATTTGCTTCAATTCGAAGATGGGTATCTAGTTGAGACCGTAGTTGAAGGGAATGAACTAGGGGTTGTGCCGTACTCGATTCGTGTGTCGCAAGACGGAGAGCTCTTCGCCGTCGATGCTGTTAATAGCAACATTGTTCGAATCACTCCCCCACTCTCTCAGTGTGAGCTTCTTTTATAATCGAAATCTCGAACTTCATTCATCGTTTAGTTGATTAGTCGTGAAAATCGGTATAATGAAACTCGAGCGATATGATTTAGTTTTTAGTTAGCCACTTTCTAGTGATCGGACTTTCTTGAAATCGAGTATGCTTGAAATATGACCACATTGCATCCTCGTAATTCTTAAATTCTTGGGTCGATTTTTGTAAATTATGCAGACAGTAGGGCAAGATTGGTTGCAGGGTCGTTTCAGGGACACACGGGCCATGTGGATGGAAAACCAACCGATGCTCGATTTAATCATCCAAAGGGAGTTACGGTGGACGACAAAGGAAATGTTTATGTGGCCGACACATCAAATCTTGCCATTAGAAAGATTGGCGAAGCAGGTTTGTACAATCCACCGTTTCTTGATATCTCACCCGATCTAAAATCATGTTTTAAATTTGTAATATTGATCTAGAAATTGGTATATTTAACTGCAGGTGTGACGACTATTGCTGGAGGAAAATCGAATGTTGCGGGATACAGGGATGGGCCAAGTGAAGACGCGAAATTTTCGAATGATTTTGATGTGATATACGTTAGGCCAACTTGCTCGTTATTAGTTATCGACAGAGGAAATGCGGCTCTTCGCCAAATCGCTCTGAGTAAAGAGGATTGCGATTACGAGAACAGCTCTGTCTCGTCTACAGGTTTTGTAAATAGTCTCCAAACATAGCGATCTTATTTTCTTGAAAATTCGGCATATGTTTTTTTCCAAGTGCTCGGCACATGAATTGACTTGAAATGAGTGATGATAGATGCAGTAACTAAACGTAGGATTTGTTTTGGCACTTGAGATAAAATTTTAACCAAGATTGAATAATCTTATGAAAGCCCGACTCGGAAACGGGCTTCGATGTCTTGATAAGTGACCTTACTTATTATTATGCGGTTATTTACTAATTTATTGCACTCCCATTTGAAAAGATAAGCTTGTAATCGGTAAACCAAGTGACTGCCTCTAATAATCTAATATATAACGCAGATCTTCTTATGGTCGCCGGTGCTATTTTAGTAGGGTACGTTTCGTGCATTCTTCAACAAGGATTTGGTTCCTCCGTTTTCTCCAAGATGGTACATTCTGCAACTCTTATATTTTGCTTCTTATGCATTATAATTCAACAGTTTTTTTTTTTTTTTTTTTTTTTCTGGTGATAATTATATACTGTTATAAATTAGCTGCAAAATTTTTACAAGGGGTCTGTGAAATCGTCAGCAATGTATTTCGATGATACTAATTCTAAATCTCCATCTCATTGCTAAGGGGTGGAAATTGTATTGGAATTTTTGATTTTCGATTTCCGGCGATTTCTGTCCTAATATTTTCGATTTTAAAACAATGTTTTTCATTGCAAAAATTTTGATTTCCGAATTTTTTCGGTTATTTTTGGAAGGAATTGGAATACATATTAGATTCAGATTTTAATTTTAATGTTTTTTTTCCTGAAAATTCCATTTTTTTTCGAAAAAGTTACACTTGTAATATCACTATATCAGTATTGTTATGTATTTTATATTATAAGAGATTAAAAAATTGGAAATTCCGGATTTGGCCGATTCTGATTTCTGATTTTCATTCAGAACAAATTATGGAAATTCTGCCGATTCTGAGTTGGAAGTTGGAAATTTTTGAAATTCCAATTTCCGATTCTTTTCGGAACGAAATAGGAATTAATTTTGCACTTCCGAAAAAAGCTCGAATTTTTCCGATTATTGAAAATAGTGTAAATTCTGATCCGATTTCCACATCGCCCGTGTTCAATAGGATGGGCTGAGGGAGACTTGTGGCATATTTGATCTATCAATTTCACTTTTCAATTTGGTTCCTATTTATATAACAGTGTCATACGGAGGGTATATAAGTAATTGTACATTTCATACAAAATGCAGAAAGGGGATCCAGGATATAAACTAGAGGAGCAACAGTCGAGCAACGATAGAGCCACCCCAGTTGACACAACTGCCAAGGAAGAACAAATAGCCGGATGGCCATCGTTCAGTCAACTCATGTGGGACCTAGCCAAAGTGGCACTCGAAGCATTGACCAACGTCTTTGTTCAATCCATCCCCTCGAATCTGAAGGGCAAAATTACCAAAAGAGGCGGCCTCACTCCACTAAAAGATTCCCTCATTATGCCCGAAGATGAAACCGTGCCACCTCCTTCGTCCACCTCAGCTCTAAAACAGAGAACTCCCACTCCTCTTTCCGAAACAAGGCGGGCCCACGTCCAGAATATTCCTAGCGACGGATTCTCCGAAGCGAAACCACCTTAAATAAGATCCACTAGCATGAAAGATCCTTCTTTACCGAGCAAGCACAGATCTTCTAGAAGGCAAGAATATGCCGAATTTTACGGATCGGGCGAGGCTACTCAATATGGACAAGTTAGATCGAAGAGCCAGAAAGCCACGCACCAAACATCGACAAAGGGAGAAAAACGGAGATGCAGTGGCAGAGACAAAGCCTTCTGAAGTCAAAGGAACTAGCTACGAGAGTACTAAGTATGATCCTTATAATTTTAGGGCCAAGTATGGTGGTGATACATATCGTTATGAATAGTAGAATGCTCGTTTTAGTAGTCTCGGGTTTTTTTTTTTTTTTTTTTTTTTTTGACGACCATGAATCACTTTTTAGGGAAAAACCGAATTTCGAAAGCGATGTAATAGGCTAATGGGCATGACCCTCTTAGTTTTCAGCTGTTGTTATAAACGAGGTTTATTTGACACATTTGAATTAACGGGTATAAATATTCGACTTGTGAAAGAATTGATTGTATATCCGAGTGATAAGGTTCGCAACTGTTTGTCACATGAATCGAAAGATGACAGCCCAACTACTCTAAAACTTTTCTTAATTGTTTGTATGTAATAATTTGTGGACAATATTTCGCAGGTCATTTCAGCTGTAATAAATCCTTAAAAGAGCCCTCCCCCATCAAACCTAATCCAATGCATGCAACATCAAGAACCTGAGTTATCTTTCAATCTAATATTCGTCTTTTTTTTTTGTTCTTCGGGAAAACCTGATTGAAAATTGTTTCGAAATCTGCCCGGTTGAACACAGTTTAGGCGAAAACATGGGTTGTGCTGGATCCTCACAGACCAAATCTGAAGGTGAGAGAAACTCAAATTTAGTTAAACTTCAAAAAAACAAAAAAGAAAAATTGGTTCTGTCTTACTTATTTGATTTGGCAATTGTTTGAACATCAGCATTGACACTAATTCACAGGAACTGGTAAAAAGAAGATAAGAAAGCCAAGAGCTTGGAAACATCCGCAGCCAATCACGAGAAGCCAGCTCATACAGCTGAGAGAGGAGTTTTGGGACACTGCTCCTCACTATGGTGGTAGGCAAGGTAAAATATATAAATAAACAAAATGAAAGATTTAAACAACGAACCACATATACCATACACCGCTTTCCTAGTTCCTCGTTTCGTTTTACGATGACATAATTTTTTTAGTTCTTGAAATTTTAATCGTGTTAGAAATATGGGATGCACTAAGAGCAGCAGCAGAAGCTGATCCAACGCTGGTTCAGGCAATCCTAGAAAATGCTGGGATCGTAGTTCATAATGCTGATATGACAGTTTGCTTTGACGAAACAGGTGATTTCAATTAATTTCGGACCAATGATTTTTTTAATACAATTTTTTTTTTTTAACTTCATATTGTGATTTTAGATTGACACTAAATCGAACATGTCACAGGTGCAAGATACGAATTACCAAAGTATGTACTGAGCGAGCCGAAAAATTTGATACCATATACTTAAGAACCAAAGGCGTGGATTTTCGATATCTGTAGCCATCATCCGAGTTCGTCTCGAACAATGTACATTGTGTCGTTTGTTTTAACAGACGTTAAAGTTATAAAACTATAATCCTCAATACAATACAAATTACCTTTTCCGTTTCAGCAAATGTAGCCCGACTGTGCAGCACCACTATAATAGTATCGGGCCTCGCTCGGTTTCATGTATCAAATTGATTTTTATTAGAATTTATCGAATTAAATCCATGTTGGCTAACGAATTATTTAGCTAGCAAGGTCCTTAGTTCCTTGAATTAGATTTAGTATCAAAATTAATCGTTGAACGTTTCATCTTTACAACGGGCCTGAATTAGTTTAAATCTTGACGAACAAACATATTATTCTCTCTGACTATTTAATTAGCCTTAATAGTTGCAACCAAATGAGATAATATTCTTGTTGCATATCCTCATTGGATTAATTAGATCCATTCACCACCAGGGTCGAAATAAGAAGGCTTTTCAACCGTATGTAACACGAGAGGGGATATTAATTTTTGTGCATGCATTTGTAGAAGAGTAAGACATAAAAGCTACATAATATTATAGACTTCAAAATGAGATAAGCAAAATATATTTCAAGAAAACAGTCTCTACAAGCTTCGAATTCAACCATAAACGAGAAGGCCTACTCTAGTAATGAAAATTAGAAGAAAAAAAAAATTAGAAATCGTACTTACAGAAAATCAAATAGGGTACGTAAGCGCATGCAGTGAATCATTCATTTCATCAGCTCTTCTTGAAAAACGAGAGGATATTTCCTTGCTTAGGATCCTTATTTACTGCCTTCTTATTTCCACCTCTCCCTCCTTTATTAGCTGCAGCTGTGTTTCCTACTGCAGGTGACTTCTTAGCCACCGGTGCCCTAAGATGCATTGTCCATATCAGCAAATCAGTCGATGTCAAGAAAAAAAAACCAGAAAAAAAAAAAACTGAAACGATAACACAATCTCGTATGAGGGTTTTTTCCCTCCGCAACGTGCCGATATTTAATATTCAAACATAGTTAAAACTTAAAACCAATGAAGAAATAAATAAAATGGTCGAGCACTATGCATAATCCAACCTGCTCGTAGCATTCTTCACTACTGGATTGCTTTCAGCAGTTTTCCCTGAATTACTTTCAGATTTCACCAGATCGTTTTCAGCAGTTTTTGCTGATATACTTTCAGATTTTGCCGTTTTATTTTCAGCAGTTTTCGCTGAATTACTATCACGTTTCGCATCTGGCTCCTCACCCTCCCAAACAACCTCGGTAACTGAATCCACATATATAATTAAAATCTAATCAATTAATTTCAATAGTACATAAAAAAAACGCAACGAGATAAATCATTGAATAAAATATCCCTCAGAAAATTGTAGCAATACCTTCTCTACCACGCTCGTCAGTCCGCGTTTTAAACACTTTTCTTCTTTTAGGCACAGCATCCGTCACTTTACCTTTCACACTAGCATCGATCTCAAGAACAGGACTTTGCGGCTTATCTAAAGTGGGAGATTCATTCTTCTTGCCTTTGTTCATCGCTGAAACTTTTTCAACATCCTCTTGCTTAACTTCATTAATCTTCGGTTCATTTTCCTTCTCCTCAAAACTTGAGTTGCAAAGACTGGATTTTTTTGGAGGATCAGGCGAAGATAGACTTACCGCATCTCTGTATTCATCTTCATCATCCGAGTAATCAAATACAACTCTCCTCTTTCTACCACCTTCACCATTCGAAGTTCTCTTTACATTGAAATCTTCGCCATCTTCTTCACTGCTCCCGTAATCCACTGATTCCCGAGCACAAATTTGAGCTTCTGCGCTAGCTGATTCCAGAACTAAACAATGAATTTTAGATGAAAAGAAACAATCAGCAAACACAAACCTTGTTGAAAAAAGTACTGGGAAAATGTAATGTTACAATTTAAAGTGGATATAAGAAAAGGAGTCAACCCGGAGTGTTCTGTTTGGAGTTGTTGGCTTGTGCCAAGGGAGTTTCAGGCTTAGGCTTTGTGGATGCACGACCCCACATGCTAGCTAATGCACTTCCATTTCCGGAAGAGCTTTTATCACTTTGGCCCTTCTTGTTAGGGAGAATCAGCGGTACTTTTTCTTTACCTGCAGCAAGTTTTACTCCCGGGTCACGATCTACCTTTACATGACTCTCGGTTTTTACAGCTCTTGTAAAGTCAATCCCAGCATTGGGACTCGACTGCTGAACTTTTTTTGCCGGAAGCTGTGGAATTGCCATGGTTTGATGAGCAGTGCCCAGAGGTGCTTCGCCACCAATTCGCTTAATAAATGAGCTTGAAACTCCACAAAACCTGATAGAGGTTCAGCGGAAATCAGAGCATAAAGAAGGGTTTTATGTTTATGCATATAAAACATTTATATTGATAATGAAGGAGAACAAAACTATAAGCACTATTTAGACTTATAGCTCAACGAAAAGAAAAGTTTTAATTGCTCAAATAGAGATTTTGGGAATAGGGGTTGAACCTGTTATCAAGCAAACAGTTGTCAAGTGTCGGTGGCTGCTTAAAGAGATATTCAGCTTGGACAAACTCATGATTCCAAAGGGTTGCGGGATCCTTCGGAAGGCATGCTTGTATGCTGTAAACTTGAACGGAGCAGTCTCCATCAAATTCTTGCTTCGCATCTGCACATTTGGAAACCGAAAGTGTCACAGTGGATATTCCGTCCGTCTTATTTTCTCCACTCCAACTCGTATAAGGTGATAATGGGATTGCACGTGGTAAAATGGAGTCCATATATAGGTTTTGATCGATTGTTTTATTTCAGCTTTGCAACACACACACACACACACACACAACAGAATCACCTGAAAGCTTATGCTTGGACACAAGCCTTATATGGTAAGTTGAAGGGTTGTTCTTGATCCATCCAGATAAAGAGTAAATCACTTCCAATCCATCACCATATTTTTCAACAAACTCTTGTAGCAGCCTAGAATAAAAAAAATCCACCAAAACACATCAAACGAGAAACACAAATATAAAAGACGATAAATCTAACACACTGCGACATTCCGGTTACCTCTTTGCAGTATTGGAGGAAACCAGAAAGTTTCGACTCAGCCATTTGTAGGAAACCTGTACACAAAAATACAATTCACAATATACTTAACACCCAAAACAAAATTGATAAATTACGGAGTTCCGTTCAGTAATTTGATTTTAATTTTTAACCGCACGCCCTTTAAATTTATCATCTTTTTTTGTTTTTTTGCTTATCTCTTTTCTAAATGAACAATTTTATTCTTTTAGTAAATATTAGGTATAAGAAGACAAGCTTGCAAAGCAAAACCCATTCAATTCACAGTTAAAATCGGATTTTCCGAACAATAATTGATGCAGATGAACGGCAAATCCGAACGGTGGACATTCTAATCATGTACGTAATCGACGAAGAAATAGATTGAGAATGAGAGTGTTTTACCACTTGAAGTTTGTCGGAGACGATGGACTGAATCTCGTCGAGAATACCTAGTGTTTCGATTTCTGCCATATCCTTCTCCGATGGGAAACGATCGGATCCGGCGAAACGGAAACCGCAGGAAAAGATTAAAGCTTTTTTTTCTGTTCTCGCCTTCGATTTTCCCTCTCAAAATGGCTCTTGATTTCCCGCCACTGTCAGCAATTTGGGGTGTTAGGGCTTTTGAGAGAGATTTTGATGATACCCCACCCACGGTCACGTGACCACCACAGAAACACGTGCTTTGATAATATGTAAAATATCCTTTCGATTTTCATAACCAAATGTATATATTCCTCGACTAGTATAGAATTAGATAGTTCAAGTTCTAATACATGGATGGAAGATAAAAGATGGTGTTGGGTTTTTGGGCCCAAATGGATTAGTGAAATCGAGTTCATTAAATCGTTTCTCCTCTGAGGCGGTCCAATACTTAAAATCTGGCAATAAAGTGATCGGTCAAATTTTGAGAATTTTCTAGATCATGAATTTTGAGAGTAGATTTTCTGTGTTTTGATCATCACCACTCATTTGAGGTATTTAGACTCCACCTCTCTTCCAACCCCTCTCTCTCTCTTCTGGTCGTACCACCGCAATGAATGCGTTTTGACATTGTCCAGCGACATGCTCATTTGACTATAACGATGGTTGTGACGTTTATGTGCTCTACTTTTGAGACTATCTTTCTTTTCCATATATAGAGCAAATTATTTTGTGAGAGAGAGGGGAGAACAAACTCATTTGAATCTCTTCTTCTTAGTTTCTTCAGATCTTTGTTTTTCGGAGAACTAGAAAGGTCCACTTCTGAGTAAGGAAAACACCAGAGAGTTCAAACCAGTGAAATTGAGGGTTTGGGTAAGAGAGTTGACAAAAAACTGAGTGGTTCTGGTCAGACTTAGACTTAGGGTTGTTGGTGCCACCGTCTCTGGATTATGGGGAAAAAATATAACATTGAAAACTGAGCCATAAACAAAAAGTTTAGGCATTTTTCTAATAAAAAGTTTAGTTAATCTAATCCCTAAATCCCATTCATACATGATCATTCTATAGGATTATGTATTATGTACTGTCTATCTTCGAATTCGAATGGGACCCCAAAAGATGGATATAGTTTAAAACCGTATTTTGTTATAAATTACAATCTATGTTGTGCGAAAACTTTAACTTTTTAACGTTTCTTCATTGTGGACGTGTTTCATGTCGGACGATCGAGAACATATGTCGAACACTTTACGGGTCATTTTGCAATTTCTAAAAAAAATAGAAACATGTTTGAAAAGCTAACTTTCAAATATTTTTGTTGTTTCCCTAATTATTTACATGATTTAATGAATATTGCAAATTGATAGTTGATAGTAAAACTTATTTTGAATAGTTTGTACGATATAAAAAGAATTTATATATAATTAAAAACTTATTTATGTTTATATAGCATATTTATAAATATACCCCTATAATTTTAATATTTACACGTTTCCCTCAAACTTGTGTATCCCTATTTTGGGATATGCCGTTTTTCAGTATTACCGCTTCCATGTACATGCTACGTAGATTATAATAGATCACATTAACTGTGAACTTAAGAAAAAAAAAAAAAACAAATTAATTTATTTTGTTCTTTTTTTCCCCTCTTCTTTAATTTGTACCATCGTGATTCTACACTTGTAATTTCTCATCTTCCATCCACGAACAAAAATGTAATAACTGATCAAGATTTTCTTTTTCATTTTTGTAACATATAATTTTTTTATATTTTTTTTTTCTTTTTGCAACATTTATAATTTGAAACTCGATATAGAAAAAATGAAACATTTTCAATATTGATAATTCAGATCCAATTACAACATATCATTTACAATCACATCTTCCCTGTCAAACATCTGTATCTATCTTATTATATACACACTACTTCAAAGTGCAGTGAAAACTTATCAATTTATACACATGATTAGCTGAAAATGTAAACCTGATCAAATGATTCGAATCCCCTCCTGCAAAAAAATAATGCTCGTATAACTTCTCGTCGGGTAACACATAATAAACATATATAGAAACGGCGTTCGAGAATTACCCAGCCTTTCCACAATAAGTGGGTTTATAATTATATATGAGTTTATCGAGCACTTCTCCGTTAGACGGCCTGTTCGAAGATTTTCGAGATTCCCTGGAAAAAAAAATACATATCAAAAGGAAAAATACATAATTAATAAATCATCGAAAAACAGATAATGTGGCACGAAAAAAAATATATCTAAACCGACATATAAAATGATGCAAGTAGTTATTTACATGAACAGGACTAAAATTTTACCTGACGAAAAAGTTGGCAGCATTTTGCGTCACTTGAATCGCTGATTCGGAGTGAGGAATACCAGGTAAGCCCCATTCATAAGCATTTTTCTGCAACGGAATAATTCATCAGAAAATTTGCAATTTCGAAACGTGAAAACCCATGTTGAAAATATGCACGGGTGTCGTTAGTTAATTTTTGGTGCAAGGATGAATGCACTAATTAACTAACTAATTGCTGTAATTTTTTTAATTCACATTTGACAATAATATATAATACCTCTGGATGCCACTGGAAACCAGTCACTGGGTATTTTCGGGCCTGAACGGTCGAAACATAAATCTGATATATATAAATTTTAATCGTTAGTAGGATGGCTATAGATACGGTCCTTTTTATGTCACAATTTGAAGATATATGTATATATATTTGTATATATACCACGGAGGTGCAATTTGTTCAGTACCTTACGGTTCTTGCATGTACTAGTCGTGACGATCTTGAAGAAATTAGATAGATTCTTGTTCTTATGAAACTTTTCTGGCGATATCCCATACTGTAAACATACACGAATGAGTAATGATATAAACATCTAACAAAATAACTGTCTGAAACCGGCAATTTTGATGAATTATTTAAGTGTTCGTCCAGGAAAAGAAGAAAACGTAACATGTCTAAAAACTGTCGATTGATGAATTAAATAACCTAAATTGAAAGAAATACTTGCTTGATGATGTTCCATTACAATGTTCTCTTTAGCCATCTTCTGCAGCAAATATGGCGGAAACCTGCAGGGAAAGTCGCAGTTTTTAATATATAATACCAATTGTTGACAGCATAATGTCGACACTTCGAAACGAAGCATTTCTCGAAACAACATATATAAAAATCTGTCGTCAGATATATATATATATATATATATATATATATATATATATATATATATATATATATATATATATATATATATATATATATATATATATATATATATATATATAATCAAGTTGATGCAAAATAAAATTCATATGATGTTTGTTTACGACGAGGTTAATCGAGTTTAGCATGCCAAAGTTGTCACTCAGGTGAAATGCGACACTAACACTAGACTGTCGTTTAGAAATGATTGAATAACAAGTAACAACAAATGAAGAGTTAAAATTTATCGTCGTGTGATAGTTACCTTTCAAAAGCAGTACCGTTTAGATTTATGTTCCTCGGGAACATCAACGTAGAAGGATAATCTATGGCAGAAAATTCCTCCAGGATGTTTTTGTCCTGTTATTGGAGGTAATGAAAGAACACAAATGCCGTAAGCCGACTAAATTAATATACGGACGAGACGAAATAAATCGTAAAGTATAAATCACATCATAGTTTGAGAAAGAACCTATACTAATAAAACCGATATACGCGTGTATGTATAAGAGAAACAAGTTTTAATATTATGATCCCACGATTAGACTCTCTTCTTCTTCTTCTTCATCGTTTCCCCGATTCCAAATTAGTAGCACGTTTTAAGACAAGTTACTTACCTTGGAAACAATCATGGCTAATAGCTCGAAACCTAAGCAGACGGCAAGCAAAGGGAAATGATCTCCACCATCATTCTTTTTTACAACATTCTGCACATATACATAAACAGATGTATCTGTAATAACTGCAGGATTTTATACAGAACAAAAATTTAATAGGTCAAAGCAAAAAACCAACATACACGATTCGTTAATTGCCGCTCCTTGTAAGAAAATTCAGCATTAATGAAAAATCATAGTATCATGATAAATAAAGACAAATACATAGAGATATACAGTAGATTGTTTAAACCTGTTCGGTTAGACAATTTGTCGAACACATAAGAGGCAAGTTTTTCAAATTTTCAACCATGGCGGCGCGTGCCACGTACGTACCTTGAAGATCGACTCGACGACCTCAAAGAAGTGACCCCTTTTAATCGAACCACCTGGAAACAGCACTCCATTAACCAAATTGAGCTTCTGTAGGAATAAAATTGACAAAATTATTTGTAAGAAAGATAACGATTTTCTCCACAAAACCTCTGTCTATGTCTCAAGCAGCTAATTCTTACAATTTTAGAAGCCAATCGGAGGATTTTTTGGGGGATTCAGGAAGGAGGAAAAAAAACGCAGCAGAAGAAAGGAAAAATAACGATGGGAAGAAATGTTTTCCGCGATATATGTTTGGCGCCGTTTTGTTTTATTCCTAACTAGGTGTTTTAAAATTGAGAAAATTACAGTTTTCCCCCCTCAAGGTTTCAATGGTTTCACATTTAGTCCTCCATGTTTCTAAAAAATATATGTAGTCCTTCACGTTTCAATAATTTAACACATTTGGTCATTTCCGTCAATTTACCGTTAATATGTTAGGTAAGGCATTAATGTACACATGCTTGATTCCGATAGTACAAGCGGAAAATTGACCGAAATGACTAAAAATATTAACTTTTTGAAATATAAGGAACCAAATGTGTTTTTCGTGAACATGGGCAACCAAATATAAAATCTGGGGAAACTTAAGGGATGAAAACTATATTTTTCTCGTTTAGAATTATACATAGAAGAGTATTTTTGATGCAATTAAAACAAATATTCTCGTTTTGAGGGAATTGTTGATGCATTTTTAAATGGTGCAAAATTTGTTATTTCAAGTTATTTGATGTCACTAATATGGAATTATATATATAGTTACTAGTTCATGGGAAAATTACTAAAAAGTCCTAATTAAAAAATTCTACATCCAAAGCATCCCAATTATTTTTTCTTTCTATCCAAAAAGTCCCACAAAGAAAATATTCATACTAAATATTCCTACTAGTCTTTGTTGAGAGATTAATAAAGAAATAATCCATACTTTCATGCACAATAGTTTGCAAATCAAATGAGAGATTAACTTGATTAATTAATTTAATTAAAAAAAAGTTGTCTCGTTATTACTTTGTTGAGAATCTCGGGCGGTTCGTTGTAAATAAGAGGAATGACCCTAGCTCCACCGGATTCAACGAATTTTACATAAGAGGCGGCGATATAAGATGCTTTTGTGGAGTTGTTCAGACGCCCAGAAGCCCCATCGCCAGGGTGGCTTATGATTCCGATGATAGGATGGTAGTTGAGCTTCATGCCCGACGGTGGAACCCTATGCGAAGGGTTCGTACAACAAGGTACGAGGGTCGGCTCCGCCGTGGACTGATTGCAAAATAGGAAGATGATCCAGAAATAATTCTTCATGTTAGATATTTATTTATATTTTTTTTGGATTGAAAATTAAATGAGGGTATGTGGGATTGCTCTATCATATCATTCTTAAATAAGGATGTATTGGATTGATGGGTATAATTACACATTTTATGACAAATGTATTTTATTGAAAATTTCCATTTTTTACTTGTGACAAACTAAAAAGATTCCCTTTTTAATAATAGTAAAAAAGATCTCCCTTTTCTCTCTTAGGATAAGAAATTGGTTGAAAATAGTCGATACACCATTAATTTTCATAAGAACATTTTTATTCAAACTACATTTTGATGTATGTCAATTAATATCCATGAAAAATTTGTCCACGTAAAATATAATAAAATTTTCATTAACTAAACTTCTTTTATTAAGTTTTGAATTTTATACTTGATTGCATAAAATTTGTATAAAATCTCTTATCAATTTAGTTAAATATTAAGATAAATTACACCCACACCCCTGAGATATGCTTAAATAATTTTAAGGTCCATTTGGTATCAATAATTATACTCACCCCCTGAAACATAGTTAGAAACTCTAATGTGATAATGCATTGGATACGTTATTCCGATAGAGTTCTAATGGGCTATTAGTATCAGGAAGTTGTGGAGACAACATAGAGTCAGGAGGTGACATGGGGCTCTCCCAACATTTTGCAGCTTTATGACCACGGGATGTGTTAGATCATCATCATCATCATCATCATCATCATCATCATCATCATCATCATCATCATCATCATCATCATCATCATCATCATCATCATCATCATCATCATCATCATCATCATCACTTGTTGAGGTTGGACTTATTTAAAAAAGTTGTGGGGGGATTTGAGGCTCGTTTTGTGGCGTCGCGGTTGAGAACTATATTCAAGAATTGATATCGAAATTGAATGAAAAATGTGAATCCATAGTAAATAAGGAGACTTTATTGTATAAATGTAAACTAAATAGATGGTGATCACATTAATGTACAGCTAGTATTTATAGTATTCTATGTGAATAGATTTGAATAATAATAATAATAATAATAATAATAATAATAATAATAATAATAATAATAATAAACAATATTATAAGTTATATAACTTGTTTAATTCCATTTAAGTGATAATTTAGCACTACACAGCATCAATATGGAACAAGGATGGGTGTAAAGGGAAACACGTGTCATGTTGCAATGTTGAGGGTGTGCAACGTGTCCACCTCTCCCTTATGCAGTTACTACGTAACTAGTTTCTCTTCGATCGGTAATACAACAAACACCTACTGTACATATATATTCCACCACCGTACCATATCCGTATCTCATTTCATAACAGAAGAGAAATAATAAAACAGTAAATGGGACAAGGCGAGGAAACAAAAACCAGAGAAGAACCCACTATCCAGATTCAGGCAAGTAATTGTTATTACATCAAATATATATATATATATGTATAACTAATAAAAATGGAGTGAATATTGATTGTGAATTATATTAAATATATATACAGGAAAGAGGAGAGATATTCTTCTTCTACAGGCCGAAAGTAGGTAAGGAAGAGGCGCATGGGGCGGAAGATGTACAACGGCTGTACCTGGTTCTGCGGCCCGAATCGGGGTTCGAAGAAAAACAGGACGATCACTATGGCAAAGAAGGCGTTAGTAAGAGGAGTGCTTCTGAAGATGAAGAAGACGACGATGGTGCTAAAGAAGGTGGCGGCGCTGGCTGTCAGAAAGTAGACATCGTCGAGAAACAACCGCTGCTCAGGCTTATTGTAATGGGGCGCAAGAGCCTCCCGCAGCCTGCGAAGAAGAGCACGCCGTATTGGGGTTTTGTTGAGATGGTCACCACCCAAATCCAACACCTTAAAGCAGCTCTACAAGGAGGTATGTATATTGCATATATATATATATATATATATATATATAATATATGGGAGTTAGTTAGATACGAGGCCGGTTGATTTAATTTGAATCGCAAATTTAATTAAATAATACACATTTCAAATCCAATAACGAGGTGTAGCATCTGATTTCTATATATTAATTAGTATAGGAGGGAGTATAATAATTTTTTTAGAGTATGCAAACTAATTTGATTAGTAAGAATTAGTTATAAATTTTTGGGTGTGCATTAAATTCTGATTTAGTTCATGTTAAACGTTTCGATATTATAAGTTAATTTTGGACCTAGCTAATTCATGTTAGGTGTTCTAATGACCTATATTAAGAATATTTGTATCTTGATAGAATACTATCTAGTTTTTAATATTTACAATATATTTATGCCTAGTTGATTTACTTTGAAAAAATAATATCCGAATTATCTGAAATAGTAGTCCAACCCAATATTTTAATAGGACATCGATAATGAATCTCCGTATTAAAATGTCGGTAATAGTAATGGTACGAATGGATTGGTATAACGGACCCAAACCCCCCAATGAGTATATGTGTATATATATGCAGCTTGAAATTGATTTCTTGTAGTACTACTTATATTTTCAATTCCACTTCAATATTTTGCGATTTTTTTGATTTATATATTTATACATATAAAACAGAAGAATACGAGACAAGAACAAGAGGTCACAGACACCTTCCCGATTCGAGGGCTGTAGGAGAAGGAGTGTACCGTATCCTAAGGCACACCGGGAAAAAAGGGATGCACACGCATTTGATTTACAAGCTGAAATTCCCCGCTGAAGAAAAAGTACGTCACGGCGAAGAGGACGACGAGTCGTCATCGTCGCCGCAGGAGGCGTTGAACATAGCACAAGAAGCTTCCTTCATTATCCAGATAAAGAGTCCGGATCAGCACAAGTCAACCGCGGGTCGATTAAGAGGACTAGACAATAAGAGGAAGGCTGCCTTCCCTGCCCACTTGCAGGGGCTATTCGGGCACCAACGCTATCACCCGGCTGACCCGCCCGATTTCCTCAACTACGAAGGCTGCGAGTTTCTGCTGATATCCGCCTCTGATGACATTGAACAAGAGTTGGGACTCGATTTGAAGACGGAGCATGAAGAAGAGTACGCGCAATGCTCGGACCTTCTAGAAACATTTGGGGATGATGTTGCTTCTGATGTTTTCACCCGCCCGTTGTTCGAAGCCACTTGGGCTTGACCACTAATCACTATACTCGATCTTGCCATGATCGATATAAGGAAATACTTGCATATTTCCCATGGATGGTGGGGATTTTGTTTTTGTTTTTGAATGCAAGGGTCGGATGGTCTTTAGTTCTTTCTTTTCCATAACTTATAATATATTCGGATATATAATACGGGTTTATTGCATTTAGCATCCTTGTGTTTACTCTGTTCGTTATGGTTTTTCAATTTTGGTTTGATGATCGATGATGATGATCGTTGCATAGTAACCATCACAATTAAACTATCGTTGCTCTACAATGGACAATCAGTATGATCGTCCTGGTTCGTAACTTCCGTTAATATTATGTTGACGGGATGATAAAATGTAATTAGTGAAAGGATCGGGATAGCTTGGTATTCAGTTTCCGAATTGAAGAATGGTGTAAAGAGATTATCTATAATGTTGGTGTACTTCTCCCGTATGCTTCGTTCAAATACCCCTAGTCGGTCCTCTGCTTGATGAATTGACCATCGACTGCAACTCTATTCACTTAGAATTGACATTTAGTTAGGGGTGCCAGTACACCGACTGAACCGAACCGAACCGAAATTTCAGTTTAACGAAATTCCCGGAAACAGTTCGGTACGGTATTATCGTTCGTAATTTTATTTAGTCAATAGTGAGAAACAATAAGCGCTACTACCATTAAGCAAAGTCGTTATTTCTTACTCCAACTAACTTATTTTGCGCTTTTTGCATCTTTTTCCAAGAACTCCAATCAACGCCCCCCCTGCCCTAAACCCCCAAATCCCAAACCAATTGATTTGCACTGAAAATCTGCAACACCACGCTCCGGCCACCGCCATTTTCTCAAAACCCTTAAATGATTCTGCTCGAAACCCTCCGTCGCCGCCATCTCCGCGCCGCCCTTCCCTCGATTTCATACGATTCCTCCGATTTTTTATTTTTTTCTTCAATTTCACGGAGACACTTCTCTCTCGCGGCTCTATTCGCGAATATCCCCGACGAAAAACCGACCCAGCAGCGCAGCGAGCCGTTGAGTGCTTTCTACAAAGGAGCCGTTGGGATCAACGAAAGGATCGAGGACACTGGTATCGAGGCAGAAATTAACGGCGGGAAAAATGCAATTTTGAAGGAGAAATTGAAAAAATTGGAGGAGCAAGTAAGGGTTTTGAAAAAAAATAGGGGTGAAACTGAAAAGGGAAAATCGTTGAAGCCACTCTCTGAGAAAAGAGACTCAGTTGTAGGAAAGGAGCCGAGTGGAGTTTTGGTGGCGTTGTTTACTGATAAGAAGACGAAGAAACCGAAACCGTTGAAGCCGATTGATTTCGGGAACGAGGATCCGATGGTTCACAAAGAGCTCTCTTCTGATATGCGAGTGCTCGCCTGCCATTTGTATAAGAACAAGTATTTGCTGGATGCGAGTTTCATGCCCAAAGGCAAACTTGATCTGACTTGCTTCGAGACGAGTTTCGCCCGTGATTTTTTGAAGTTTGCAGCTGTCAAATTTGGGAAAGATCATCAGGAGATTGCCAAGTAAGGATAACAATCGTAACGTATGTTTTGTTTTGAAGTTCAGCGAATTGTTTATTCGAATGATTAGTGCCTTAGCAATTGCGTTAATGTAGCAATATTGCATTCACTTTGCGTCGTTTCGTAATGAGTAATTGAAGAAGCATGTTAGACATAGAATGCGTAAGTTAATTCAGCTTGATACGCTTAACGATTAAGAATTGTGTGTGAAGGTAAGCGAAATTGCTGTGAGAGGCAAAGTTGCTTATTAGAGCTTATAATTTCCATGGCTTACATGTAGAAAGAGAGCAATCGATAGAGAAAATAAGTTGACTTATTGTTCCTGATTTAAAGAAAATAATCATTGATATGGCATGTCACAGAAAGTTCTCGTTTTTTCCCCGTCTTGTTGTCTAAACCACATGATTAAAGACAATGATTGTTGTTTTGTCTGCTTTGAAGTTGTTTCATCGCCGTAATTTAATCGAGAAAACTCGACTCGACATGTTAAAAAGGGTGTAGTTTAGTTTAACTAAATTTATGATTACGACAGATGGTTATCGGCTAGTGATCTGAAAAATGTAGCCCTTTTTGGGTGTCCGTCTCTTGGTCAGAAGACTGTGCGGGCAGCTAAGCATATGCGCGAATTCTTTGGAATTGAGGAAAATAAGGCATGTTTTCTCAACAAGTTAAATGCTTGCCCTCAAATAAGAACTTACTTAACGAGCTTCGATAATTACATTTCTTGAATTTCAGGTTTGCCAAAAGTGCCCTCTGAGAAGTTCTTGCAAACATGCAAATGCGAAAAGTAAGAAAGATTCGACCAATTTAAACTTGGCTTGTGTGACGAGGGTTCTCGTCATGTATGCTATGGAATCCGTTCCTCAACAGCTGGTAGTGCCTGAAGAAGTCAACACTTCCGTTAGTCGATTATTGAATGAGATTGTAAATCTTAGCCAAACTGTACCCTTGCTTTGTCGATTATAACATATCCATCAGGTATTGTTTTAGTTTCAGGTTTTTATTATTTGTGCCACACTCGTGAAAAATAGAATTACGAAGAAGCTTCTATCTAATGGTATAATTCTCAAATGAAGCGGAGGATTCAAATCCGTAACAATAAATTTATTGAGATTGCTTGGATGAATTCATTTTATCTCATTTTCTAGTTAAATTTGGAGTCATTAATAAATTCGTCCTATTTTATTTGTTGTAGGGGTCAATCCAAGCTAGGGTTGTAAATGAACTGAGTTGAGCCGAACCGAACGCATATATGAATTTTATAGAGCGTTTTAGAAGTTAAGTTTGGGATTGGTTTTACATTTTGTATGTAATTTACGAACGAGTTTCGTAGCATATTGGACGAAGATATGTGTTAAAAACTTTGGTTTGTTATGGTAATGATCCGAGCTCAACCGAACCTTTAATGATCGATCTCGAATCGAGTAGTTTAATGGATTCATTTACATATTTGTTTGTTGGGATGGAATGAAAAAGCCCCTTGCTTGACCAGTTCAATGCCCTGGACCACTTCAAAAAAGAGTTTTTTTTATCCTTTTACTACATGTGTGAAAATTTGAGGGTGATTTTGGACAAGCACATGGGCCAATGTGGGGTCTGAATAACCCTATTATTATTATTATTAATTTAGGGTAAATTACAACCAGCCATGATGCACGGTCAATTTACAAAAAACCCCTCTTGTTTAGATAATCACATCTAATTCCTTTAACTATGATTTTTTCTTACACATTCATCCTTAAGGCGTCAAATTCAATATAATCATCTATATTTCGTGGAATGAGCCCTAGTTTGTACTCGTTTTGTGTAATAATACAGTTTCTGATGCACCACAATCTGATATATACAAGCCAAAAAACATATATTATGATCTTCTTACTTCAAAATATGGAATTCGAATGGGATAAAACTGGTACAAAAGTGATAATATTCTATATAATCTCAAAGATTTCACTAATCTTAAAACTGCTAGAGTGGTCGTATAAGAAAAATTGTAGTTGAAGGGTGTTGTAATTAACCAAACAAAAGGGGGTTTTCGTAATTTCACAGTACGTGATTGTAAATTTACCCTTACTATTAATTTATTATTCACCTACGTCGTACCGTAGTAATTATATTATATGACGTGGCATGTGGCCCTACCACTCAGAAAGAAAGATAGTGCAACCTCCTCCCGCAGTACTCCACCGGCGGAGCAGTCCAGAGAGCGGTGGTCCTCCGCCACGTGACGGCGGCTGGGGAGAGGTGGGGTACTGCTGCCTGCGTCACGTGAAGTCAGCATAGTCACGCGTCCGGCACGTGGACCCCAGTATCCCACTTACTTCTGTCTACCCTCCAACGTGCATGGTTTTACCTTTTTCTTTTCTGCATTAAAGGAAATAAAAAATTAAAAAAGTCCATTTCATGCCCAAAATGCCCTTTGATTCGTGATTATTACGGCTTGATTTCTTTAGGCCACTTTTTGGTGATTAGAGTCTAAAAAGGTTTTAATGAACCCTACAAATATCCTCTTTTGTCTTGTTGTTATATTTTTTCGGTGAAAAATGGCTTTAAACTCCAAATTAATTTTTTTTTCATTTATATATTCATAAAGTATGGCATAGAGATCAAAGTCAAAAGAACATATATCTTCTATCCAAAAAAAAAAAAAAAATAGAACATAAATCAATAAAAGAAGATATAGTTTTTTTTTTGATAATTAAAGAAGATATAGTTTATTGCATTGAGTATCCTTATATTATATGAAACTGTCAATAAAAAAGTTGTTTCTTATTGTAATTATATGTACATATAATATGTCTAAAATGTATATAGATTCATACACTTAACTTACATCAACTCAAAAAACTCTTTTATAATTTGCTACTCTTTCTCATATTATATTAGTACACCAATTTTTTTACGAACTCCAGCACTGATTGTTTATATTTTAACATATCACTATAAAAATTCACTTTTCACATTACTACTCAATTCAACATAATTTTATATATATATATATATATATATATATATATATATATATATATATATATATATATATATATTAATCCTTATTAATTCCAACTTTTGTTATATAACTAGTTGCCACATTTCAAAATAATACACCCAAGTTAATTATTTCCGTATTTTAATTAATTAATTTGATTTTTCTGAGAACTTATACAATTGTACAATCGTGTAATCGTTATCCGATTTTATGTCCAAAATGATTTTGCCATTTCACTTTTTAGTATGTCAAATTTGACTAGCCTAATATGAAATATGACAATTGTATTCTAACAAAGCACATTTGCGAAGCCTATTTTTTCTTAAAAAATTGTGAAATCTTGCGTATAGTACAATCATTGGAGATGCTCTTATATAATAAGATACAATGTGATCGATGTTATTAGCACCCAATCTCTAACAAAGATGTAAATATACATATAGTTAAATAAATAAATAAATAAAAATAATTATGGTTTTATTATTGATAAATATAAAGATGTAAATAAATTATGCACCCCCATAGAAAAAAAGTGAACTAGTCAATAAAGGCATAAAGCTATTCACATGAGCAGTTAGTCCTACTACCTATACTACACCGTAGCCCCCCTGCACTGCAGCAGCAGCAGCAGCAGCTCTTCATAAATTAATCATCATTATTTTTTTTATGCTTCTTTCATTCCGTTAATTCCGGATTTTCCCCCACCCCTAATCCTCCGCACTGTACATCAATGGCGGACTGACTGAGCATATATATATCTTCCCTCTCGTTCCAATTGTTTTATATATATATATATATTTAATTACAAGGAGGATGACAGGGGGTGGTGCGGCGCGGATGCCGTCGTGGAAGGAGAGGGAGAACAACAAGCGTCGCGAGCGGCGCCGGAGGGCCATCGCCGCCAAGATATTCGCCGGCCTCCGCCTCTACGGCAACTACAAGCTCCCCAAGCACTGCGACAACAATGAGGTTCTCAAGGCTCTCTGCGACGAGGCTGGCTGGACCGTCGAGCACGACGGCACCACCTACCGCAAGGTATAATTTGCCTCCTCTATTTTTTCCGGCGATCGAATTGTTGTAATTTTTGCCCTAGCTTTTACTCGGATTATCAATTGCAACGGTGGCTGTTACGTACTGTTCATTATTATTCATGTGAAGCAAAATTAGCTTGGAAAAGTAATTCTATTGTTTCTGACCATTGATTGGGGATTTGCTGAAGCTAAACAATTAATTTGAGGATTTCTTCCATTGTTTTATTTATTTATTTGAATTTTATCTTCCTTGATTTCCTCCTTTAATTGAGCCCTAATTTACGAAGATTGAAGATCATCGACAATCCCAATGGTGCCCCTGGCGAAAATCTTGTGGGATTTTGCATTTAAGGCCTTGGAGTTTGGAAAAAATTCCCAATTGGCATATCTGGAAAAATGTGTACTTTTTCCAGCACTTCTTCTTGTTATTTTTGACAGGTTTTAGATTTGTTGGGAGCATCTTTTCTGTTGAGGGGTTTACTTTTTTGGCCCCTTTATTCAGTCTTTTGTCCAGTTATCACCCCAACTGAGTCCCACTACCTATAATAATTTTTTTACACTTCTCGTGAAACTTTTCTTGAATTTCTGGTTTTCACTTTTGCTTTTTTCCATTTTTCCTGTTTGCTCTTATGAAAGCAGAGTAGGGTATAGTTTCTTTGGGGGGTGGGGTGGGGTGGGTCCCTTTGTCAGCTTTCATCATAAAACAACCCATCATCACTCAATGGCTTAGAAGTTGGCCTCCTTTTGAATCACTGACCATTCCACATGATTGTTAGTAATGCAACAAGTAGCATTGGATGCTGGGAAATAATTAACTTCTTTGTCTATGAATCGAAAATATCATACTAAAATGAATGCAAATTTGATTTTTAAACGGGTCGACAGACGAGTATCGGAGATATTTGGTTGCAATTATTTCGTTTGCTTTTTACTACTACGGCCATCCCCAACTTAAAAAGTTCTGCTGATAAGTGTTAACCAGTTAGCGTGCTTAAGTTTGAGTTCGATTCTAAATCTAGTTTGACGTTTATGTGTTTCTACGAGGTCAACGTTCAAGTGACGGTAGTATTAAATAACGTAAAAATAGCCTTAATGTTTAGAAGCTACGAATCTACGAACAAGAGCTATTACGCTTTATCAGTAAATTTGAAATCAAGAATTAGGGATAAACGAAGTATTATAAGGGTGCAATGGCTTGGGTGTACATGCTTAAGTACTTAGATCATAGTATTGTGTTTGTGTAAGTTAGCTATTTGGCTTGGGGCTTAAGGCTTAAGAAGGAAAAATTTATAAGCATATAATGCAGCAACTTTCTGTATTCGAGTTTAAGGCTTAAGAAGGAAAACTTCTTCTGATCAAGTTTTTGTATTCGATTTCGGATGCTCGTATAACTCCTATGCCGTGTTGTCGTTCTGTATGTCAAAGATTTGGATGTGATGTGAGAATTCAAGAATGTCGATTTGGAACATACATGCTTTGCAGTTTGCACACGTTTCAATGTACTTAATTTTCTTCCGGTTCCACAGGGATGCAGGCCAGTCGAGAACATGGATACAATGGAAACTTCGTACAATCCAAGCACGCACACTTCCTACAATCCAAGCCCACACACTTCATACAATCCAAGCCCACACACTTCATACAATCCAAGCCCAGCTTCTTCCTCGTTTCCGAGCCCAGTTTCTTCCATTTATGCCCCTAGCATAATCGCAGACGGTAATTCCCTAATCCCGTGGCTCAGAAACCTCTCGTCTTCATCTTCTTCAGCCACGTCGTCATCAAAATTCGTGCACCATCACTACATGCACAACAGCGGCACCGTCAGTGCTCCTGTAACCCCTCCTCTAAGCAGCTCCCCAACCGCCCGAGACCTTCTAATCAACGCCGACCGGGCTAATTCCTTTGCCCGCCCGTTTCTTCCCTTGTCCACACCTCCAAGCCCCGCCCGCCACACCACCCTACCCGCAAGACCCTACCCGTACCCGATTCAGAGCGGCCCAACCTCTCCGACATTCAGCCTCGTTTCTTCGAACCCATTTGGATTCAGAGTGGAGGATTTGAGCCGAAGTGGGTCCCTCATGTGCACTCCAGGGCAGAGTGGCACGTGCTCGCCTGTTATTGGTGCATCGGATATTCCAATGGCTGAAGTGATTCCGAACGAATTTGCATTTGGGAGCAACACGAAAGGTCTTGTGAAGGCCTGGGAAGGAGAGAGAATTCACGAGGTATGTGGTTCGGACGAGCTTGAGCTCACTCTTGGAACCTCGAAAACCAGGTAATAATTGTTTTTTTGGCTCCGAAATCTCTGAATTAAATGGATGATTAGGACAGTGGATATTAAAAGGACTTGAGCAATGTTTATTGCAGGTAATGATTGACTGTTTGTTAGTCCGAGGAAGATTTGCCACTCTGTTGTTATACAAGTTTGAGGCCACAACTGAACACATCATTTTTAGTTGTATTTTAAGGTGTGATAATAACCCATGGTTTCAGTTGATTTTGAAACCTTTTAATGTCGATGAACACCTTGCAATGCATGCGCATGAAAACAGTTTGCACCTATATATATATATATATATATATATATATAGATATATATATATATATATCCTAATAACCAATATATGTATTCTCTAAATACAAATTATTTTCCCTAAAATCAAGAGTATTTAATATATATTTTTTTAATTGGTGTGCATTAACCTTATAAAGATCGACTTTGATGTTGCAAGAAATATTAGGAGAATTAGCCACCTTATGGACATGAACCATTATATATAATTTTATATTATATATTAGGGGAAAAAGCGAAGGCGCTCGATTTTTTTTTTGTCATTATATTTATTCTTATTATTAAAAAATCAAATTATTTTATTAATGAGCCAATTTTTTTTAAATTCAAGACGAGCTTGAGTTCAAACTCGAGTTAACCGAAGCTCATGCGAGTTAGAGCTCGAGCCTTCCAAAATAGTCCTCACCCCAAACTCTTTTTTTTTTTTTTTTTTTTTTTTTTTTTAATTAATCCTTTTTTGGCCGAAAAAAAAGATTTTATTGCACTACTGCAAAGTGCAAAGATGATATTAATGTACATGTCTCGACTCTTAGACTCATGTTTTTAGG